TAATCATGTTTGGAAGTATCACCAACTTATTTTTCTTTCACGTACATAATCCTCCCAAAATATTTCAGAATATAAATTGAAGTTATATAAAGTAATGATATCATATATCCATCAAGTCGTACCAATTAACCACCCAAAGTTTTCGTACTTAACACAAAGTTGTTCTCAATCTTTTTTTTTGGTACAAAAAGTTGTTCTCAATCTTAATTTATACAATCTTTGACTATTAAAATTAGTTAATGGTAATTAAGTTACAATCAGCCAAGTTAACCTTAATCATATCCAAAGGAAATCCACAGTAAATAAATCAAAGTAACGTGTCTTGTAACAAGACTTATTTTATGATTATTCTTGATTATAGGATGTCTAACATTATTTTTGAGTATGTATAAACTTATCATCTTCAGAGAGTTAGAAATCTTTTTTGATGTGAAATCCTTATTAGTTAAATTCATATAATAAATATAAAGACTTTTAACTTTAAGTATACACAATTCTAATCAAACACTAATACTTATTAAACCTTCATATCATTAACTACATACAACATAGATTATTTATAACTTTTACGTGCATATGTTTACTTCACTATTTCGAGATCTGGAGAAAGCTCATCGTTTTTGTAAGGCCTCCCATTGCAAGATCACCATTTGCAAGTCAAATTACTCTATACAATTTTTAGTTACATTACATAGACTTTTATCTCTAACATGTATTATTAATAATATCATGCGTGGATCAAACATATAAGTCGAATACTGCAGTAAATCTTTTAGAGATTGGGCAAAATACATTCACGATCCAATTGAAACCTCTACGATTAGGGTCGGATGTCCATTGTGGAAAAAACGCTTCAATTCGGATGCAAAAGATGTAATGATCGACAAAAATGTAAGTACACAGTTTAATTTAATGCTTACTTTCAATTTTTTCACATGCATTATTTGAATATTTAGATCTTAGATATTTAAAAGGACCGGTTATGCCATGTGCTTCCACACAAAACTCTAACCTTGATCCGTATATAGCTTCTTTTACTGTAATATAGTGCATTGGTTTTTAACGCATGACGTAACTGTGTAATCATATTGAGATGGAATGCATATGAATTCTCTACGTTAAATAACACAATTTCAATCATTTTAGACTTATATTTACATGTTAAAATATAATACTACAATAAATAATCCAAGAACAGTACAATGTAAAAAAAAAATAGTATTATAATTATCTATTTAGATTTTTAATTAATTACGAATATAAAAATTATATTGTAGTAATTTAGTGTTTATAGTCGTGTTTATAATAGTTAGTTTATTTAATAAGTTTATTGTAGTTAATTGACAGACTTCAATAAAAATGTATATTAAGTCTCTTTATGGAATGATATGACACAAAATGAAGGATCTGCTCTACATGATATGGTTGCACAATGGCTATTCATAACGTTTAGTAAGCTAACAACACTAAAGATATACAACGGTAAAACATAAAATATTTTATTAATAAATATTAAAAATAATTAATTTTGAGAATTGGGATTTATATTATATTGTTTTTTATTGGTGAAACAACTGGACTTTCTATTCTAATATTGTTCACTTTTATATCATAAGGTCAAATGCAATTGTAAACACACATCGCATCTATTCTTGAAATCAGCGCGTCTTGTGAAGAAAACAAGCAATTTCGCCAATGGTATACTCTAAGTTCAGGGAAGTAGATGTAATACAATGCAATATAATCCAAAATAACAAGACCTTCTGTGTCTACGTTTTATTTATTAGGTTGCAAAAATATGACAAGCCTATGAATTTGCTTGAAATATCGATGAAACAAAAGATGAAGGATGTCGAAGTTGTGACTTAACATCAAATTTTGTTCAACTAAAACAAACTTGATAAGATAAATTAGATAAACAAGTAGAATAAATAATTGGATATATCTCACTCTATTGTTACAAACTCCATTTTGAGGTTTTTTATTACCTGTTAAAATTCCTTCTCTTGAAACGCAATATGCAAGAAGGAAATAAATGTTATTGGGATACTTGTAATTCTGAAAGATGGAACAAATTTGTGACTGGACTTGACATCAAGGTTATAGTTTATTTATTGCAACTTTGTGTTCATACTCTCCTCATCAGGCTAAAGCCTTTGAGGATGCTAAAGCTGTTATTGAAGCTCTGAAGAGTAAAGGCAGGGGGCACAAATATAATATTTTTTAATACCAATTTTTTTTTTCTTTTGCATTGGATATTCTTACAACATCAGCATTTGTGGACTTCTTTATAATAAAGGAAATAATTTTATTAGTTAAAAAATTAATGACAAACACAATTTAATAGCTAATTTTAAATATATTTGATAATTTAAAACCACCTAAAATTCAATATGTATCAAAATCAATGTTGACTTTTGTGGAAAATCGATGTAACTTATTTATATATGTTGCCTACAACATAATATAAATAAATAATGCAAACAACTTAAATTTTAAAAAAAAAATTATAATTATTTTACAATATAATTATATATGTACTATTTTTTTAAAAAAAATTGCACAGGGGCCCGTGCCCTACGGGCCCCCGCCTAGGTCCGCCACTGAGTAAAGGCATATCTGCAATTGGTGCTGCAGGATTTTGCTTCGCGTGATAAAATTTTACACTTAACTAGTGTGTACCCCGTGCAATGCACGGGAACAATATTAAATTAACAATATTATAAATAGACCTCGAGTTTGAGTCACTCAATGGCGGAAGTGGAAACTACAATTGATCATATTTTAAAAGAGGAAGAAAAAAAATAATTATAAATTAAAGAGGAGGATAAACAATACTTAATAATTATAAATTAAAGATTCGGGGTCAAACAATGTAAAATTATTTTGTATAAGAGAATATAAAAAAATTTGATTACACAACATTTCAAAATTATTATTATACTTTTTTGTATGGTTAGCTTATAATATTTGTAAAAATATAAGTAATTAGACCAATAATGGATTTCTAGTTGTAATTATGAATTGGTTTCTATTTTATTTTATTTTTCCTTTTTAAAAGATAATGGATTTATAATAGTAATTATGAATTGGTTTCTATTTTATTTTATTTTTTCAAATCTGTATAGATAACGTGAGAGATGCAATGGGATTTTGTAACAGAAGAGATAATCTCGTTTAAATTTATACTAAAAATAGGAAAAAGAAAAACAAATATTTATTGTCAAACAACGTTTTGATAAACTAAAAAACAGGAAAAAAAGAAACAAATCTTTACACAATTAAATTAATGAGCCGATTTGTTTGCCTATTCAGATTTGTCCAACAATTACTATATGTAGGATATTTAATGATTTTGGCGGGAAAATGTTTCTAAATTTATAAAAAAGTTATTCTTTTTATATAATGATAGATATAATTGTATCATATTATATAAATAGTCTACACTTACTTGATAATACCTTTAATATGCTTGTTCACAGCAGTCTTTCTCCTCAAACTCCGCCGTATGATTAGACAAAATATAAGTATGGTATTTTATTTCACGTATCTAACCTTTATACAACCTTCATTATACTTTTCATTTCATCACAGGAAAAATTATATTCTTTCAAAGGATATGTGGATAAGGTCATGAATAAATCATCTTTGTGGTGTGGATCATGTAAAAATTGTGCCGCTGCAATTGAGAAGAACGACGACAGCAAGTCATGCAAAAAGTGTAACAGCAAAGTCGTGGAACCAACTCCAAGATATTAAACATCACAAAAACACCACGTCTAATATTTTTATGTTTAGAAAAAGATTTACAAGAAAATATACAATCATCGCAGATATAGGTTGGTCCTAAACGTCATGGGAAATAACCAAAATGCGACTATAAATTTATTTGAGGATACCGCAATGGTGTACATTGGATGTCCTATTAATGATTATCGCATATCAATTGAGCAGGTCAAATATATTCTTATTTTCAAATTCACATGAATCGTCAAGTACAATATTTATTAAAAAGACTTATTTTCCGATGATCATTCGGGGGAATAATTATCTGGATATTACAAAGGGCTGAGCTTACAGTCAACAACTGAATTTCAATTCCTAATTCCAATCGATGATAAGTCGTTCAACTCAACATGAGAATTCAATGCGATGACAGAAGCAATTGCAAAGCCGCAAACTACACATGATGAGGAAATGAATAATAACCAAATAATTTTTCTAGACAGCCGTGATGATCTGGATGAAGACAAATCGTCAAAAAGGACCAAGAGCAGAAAGAAGTGAACCATCAACAAAATAATAGAAGATGAAAATAATTGCATTATTGAAGTTGAAGATCACGAGAAACTTAGTAGTCTTAAGAAGAAATGTGCAAGAAAAAATACTAAAGCAAAAGGAAGGAAACCATCTCCAATCGTCAACATAAAGAAGGAGAAGAACTGAAAGAACAATAATTCTTATTAGATTCTTATTTAGTTAATTCTCTATTATAGACAATTTTTTTTTTTTTGCATAATAAGTTATTTGACTTTTAATTTAATTTAGAAACCATTCTCTTTCGAATATTTATGTATTAGTAATTTCATATATTATTTCAATATCTTCAAATTCCCACTAAATATAATTCAATATACATAGAAAATGGCAAGAAGAAAATATAAAAGGTATTGCAAATGATATTGTGCAAAACTATGCAACTCGGAACAACAACACGAACTTCATTATCCGGAAGAAAAAATCACAATACAACCCAATTTTTCTCACGTGCATCGCACGTGCACTTTACTAGTTCTAAAAGTGGGAAAGTAGACGAGAATCCGAAGGAGGTGGTGTTTTGGCAAATAGAAGCATAAGAGTGATTGATGAAAAAATTTGTATGAAGTGCTTTTATTCGTACTCAAAGTGAAACCCAACTAAATTAAATCATAAATAATTAGAACTCAGAAGCAGAAGTTGGCATTTTTATGACCAAATGATGNTTTTTTTTTTCCAAAATTTTATTGATGCAATTTGTTGCATGTGCATGAAATAAGAAAGTTAAAACTTAAAAGACATCTTTTACCTCTCGTGCTACTACTGTCTGTGTTTTCGGAGGAGTTGCAACTTTCTGTAATGGAAATATGGTCAAAAACAGAAACAGGACTTGGAAGCCGATTATCAAGTAAAGTTCTCTCTCCAAAAATGGTCCTTTGATCATGCATGTCTACATTTTTAACCTGATAGCACCAAATGATTTTGATTATCATTCACAAAAACAGTGAAAGATTCTTACCAAAATCCAATGAAATGGAGAAGTTTCACATTAATGGTTTTCGATTATGCTTTTGACATATGGTTAACAGTTTTCACTACAAAAAAAAGGGAAATGTTTATGAAGAACCGTACATAACTTTAATCCGAGAACACCACAAATTGTGTTCAGTACCCAGGAAAACACATGATTGAGAAACATGAGGGAAAAAAAAAATGAAAACGATAAATTTAAAAAATATATATCTGTATATATATATACCTGCCACTTTTGACCAGTAACAAATCCATTAGAACAAGAATGGCCATCTTGTAAAAGACTTGAGCTCGGTTGGCCTTCAAGATTATCTATCCAAACTCCATCTTTGGTTTTCTGTTGAGCAAACTCTTTCCGAGTCAATACCTTCAGTCTCCCCTCCAAGAAAGTGTGCATTAGTATATCGTCAACACTTTGTCCAAGTGGCAAAAACTTTTTTTGACCATCCATGCCGCCTAGATCGAGCAATATTTGTTTACTCGGATAATTTGTGGACCCCACTGAACCAGCTTCTAATTGCCTTGCAACTGGAGAACTGAAAGTAAAAGAAACAACATCCATAGCACCACCAGAGTCTAAGAGATTTCCATATTTACCTTTCGGCTCTTTTTTTTTCTGAGCGGATATTACCATCAAAAGATCGTTTGTTTTTAACAACTCCAGCTGAGCTACGAGGCCTCACACGTTTCTTGTCATCTCCATCTTCTGATGGTGGCTTAGAGGAATTCCTTTGCCTGCTCGAAGTAAATTCTTCGATTGGCACCTTTTTCCCGCCTTGAGATCTGGGTTTCAAAGGTGGCGCCCTTTTGCTATCGGCAGGGCAATTGTGCTTCTGATTGTTTTGGCGAAGCACGCTCGTGCCTTTCTGTGAAGATGGTTTCTTAAGTGTAGTACTCTTTTGTGCTTGTGATTGACTGGTCAACGCCCTGTTCGTCGTACGTGACTCACTCCTTTCTTTCTGGCCGACAAATGCTCTTTTTTGTACATTGGCCTTAGCTCGTAACGCAAGCGAAACCGACTTCCCTTTATTTTTCGCATCAATTGCCACCGAATAATCCACTGAACCATCCCAGCTTCTAATGACTGAGCGTCTAAATTCACTTTTGGATGTTTTTTCACAGCTTGGACCTTCTCTTTCAATTCCCTTACTCTTTGGGCCATTTTCATCTTTTCCCTAGCCTTAGGCCCCGGCTTGATAGTCATAGCAGCTGCTTCCATTAAGTGAGTGGCATTATTTGGCGACCTAAGACTCGAATTTCTAACAGGAGACTTAGCCGATCTTGGCGGCATAATTTCGGTGCAGAATTTTTCAGTCGACCCTTTTGCAAAACTTTCACATTTGAACTCCAAATCTTGTGAAAAATCGAGACTTTTAGATTTGTAATGGGAACGACTCGCAAAAGACCGGCAGTTGGAAAGTGGAGTTGAGTTGGGGTCGAGAAAGCTTGATTTCGGTAAAGAATCTAATCCAATGAGTCGAGCAACAACGTTAGGGGCCTTGCTCGTGTAAAAATCAGCTTCAGTTAATGATGAGGCACAACTGTAGTTACTGCTACCTTTCACGCTCGAACCAGCTGTAAATTCGTCTTCGTCAAGCTAGAGATGGGAAGAGAAGAAAAATGTATAGTTTATGATTTGAAGGGGATTGATCATTTAGTTTGTTTGTATGGGCTTACCATATGAAGCCGTGTCGTAGGCATATTCCCATCAAATCTTTTTTTCTGCTTGAATTTCTGTACCAAAATTAGGTGAAAACAATCTTGTTTAAGGAACAGCAAATTAGACAAGTGACTCCTGAGTACAACAGTAGCTGTTTTAACTAAAAGTTCAGAAAAATAAAAATAGTTTCTGAGTGTTGTACCATCGTGATGAAAAACTCCACTATATAAGGAGAGTTTGCTAAAGATTAAAGAAAGTGAGATTAGTTGTTGGCTGAAAAAAGGCAGCTTTGGTTTCTTTAATAATTTGAAAGGTCAACTTCTGGTTCTTTGTTTGCATTTGTAGTCAGAATCTTCAAAGTAAAGCGGGTGATACTTGGCTCTTAAGCGCAAACAAGTCGCTTTCACAACACCAACATTAATATATTTATTCAAATTTAGCTTCTACTCGCAACATTATAAATCCTTCCACTATGAGTTTTAGTCTTTTCAGTAACTCAGTAAACACATAACACACTAAAAGCTCTGCATTTTTTTTCACTAAGGAAGTTATTACAAGCTATTTCAAGGAATACGTTTGTCATACCAGGTAATTCGGCCTTGCTCGATAACTTCTTTCGTGACTTTGCATTCCAATCGAACAAGTTCAGTAAGCCTCCAACATAATTCCTGGCTTTAGAACCTTGCCTCTCTGTCCTCATATTTGCAGACTAGCGATATCCAAAATCAAAACACAACTATTACGGACCAAAATGTGAGAACACAAGCAAATAAGTTTTTGCCACATGCCGTTAATGGCCATCTGCAGTTATGAGGGAGATATAAGAGAGGAAAGAGAACATAGAATTAGAAAGTGATACATTTTATTAAGTTGCAATGCTATCTTTAATTTTTCATTACCGGCTGATTAGTAACTGATTTAACATCAACAAACAAGTATATATATAATACTTGCAGATTGTGGTTACATTTTGAACTGGCTATATCGATGTTTCTGTTGCAAATTCTATATTGATTAAATGAAACCAAAATTGGTTGGGATAAGACGATAGAAAAAAGAATAATTAAGCTACAAAAGCCTTAAGACAAAAACATCTATTAATCCACTCTACACATGAACACCATTTTCTTCCAACATAATAATTCTGCAAAATAATTTGTGCTTGGCATAAATTTTTTGGCGAAAAATGCAAGTTCTGGCGCAAAGTCAGCAAGGCAGGCAAACATAGAACACGTGATAAGGATGCAGAGAAAAGTGAATGATCTCCAATATCAAACTAGTCGAAAAACCACATTTCTACGAATGTAAACCAAACACACCTTTTTCTATTCAATTGAAGTTCTTGAAGACACTAACGCAGCCATTTATCAGTTTGATCGCATTTTAATTCAAGAACCAGCAACAGTCTCATTACTTTCAGAATTTCAATAAATTCCATAATCTCTCTATCATAACCATCATCATCATCATTAACATTTCTGGTGTAGGCTAATTATTATTATTATTATTATTATTATTATTATTATTATTATTATTAGTATTCTTATTATTATAGCAATTAATATTATTTAATAATTAATAGCTTAGGGAATAAGCTAGGGTATTATTTGATGACTTTATTTAAAGGAACTTAGGCTTTGTGATGGTCAGTTGATTATTGAAATTAAATAAGATATTGGTGAGGTTTGTAAGTTTTATCAGAGAGAGTATCTCGTTTATGGTCTCACTCGTACGCTTCCCTACATCAGTTGGTATCAGCAGTCAGTACGATTCGCGATGTCGCCGGGACGAGAAGATGCCGCAGACAAACGACGTGACGCAACCTTCAACGATCGGTTTCAACAGATCGACTACCGATTTGAATAATTGGACGTGCGTTTCACGGATTGGTTTGCCGATCTTTCGACAGGATCGAGGATGTGCATTTGACGCTTAACAACGTGATTGTTTCGGAATTGCAGACGAACCACGATGGGGCTGTGGGCCGTGGCTTTCACGGGGGAGACAGAGGCGGTTGTGGGGGACGCAGCCATGTCGGGGCGCCCCGGCAGCGATCCCCGCCACCTCTGAACGGCATCAAGGATGGTGACTTTACCTGGTCGGCTAACCCGTTGGCAGATCGACCACCATGGCGAGAAGACAAAACCACAGGTCAGCCCGAGTTCGCGAGCAGCGGCGGGCTGGAGGTAGTTTCGTACATGGAGGCGGATTTTGGCGTGTGAAAGAGATGACTCCAGTTGCACTTCTGGGCCTCACAAAAGCATTTTTTGAGCTTGTGAGGGTGATGTCGTTTTTGGGCCTGCGCCCAATTCAATTTATTGGGCTCAGGAGAAGGATGGATTTAATCCTTATTTTGGGCCTGAACAGCCACAAACAGGCTTTGACTTCGAGTTTATAGATTCCCTGAATTTTGAGCCCGACACGTACGATATCTACGACGGTCCGCCAATTTTTTATGAAGAGCCTTCGGTGACGAAGACTTATTTTTGCAGTAATATGGGTCCCGCGTGGGACGTCGCAACGGTTGAGTCTTCGAATGGGCAGCCTGTTGGGTTCTCTATACTGTACGGATTAAAATCGCAGCGGAAATTATACAATATAATTTTTATTTATCAAATAAATAATTAATCCGTAAGTATATATAGCGAATAAAATGATCGGCATCTTTTAAAATCACATAAAAATACGAATTTTGATTTGTAAAGAATTTCGAAAATTACCTTTAATTTTCTTCAAATAGCGACGATGAAGAGGAAATCAATTTCCGGTTATGTGGCTATCACCGTCTTCTTACTCCATAAGGGATCCAAGCGTCTCCCCTCTAATCGAGTCCACCCATTTGGATTCCGACTCGGAGAATAATTTCTTCGCTAGTAGAAATTTTCTGGAATTGAATTGGTATAAGGAATTAAATTGAGAGGAGATTTTTTTTTTTTCTTTCGCAAATGCCGAGAGCATAATTGCTCAATTTTGCAAAACTCTAATGGGAGAGTTGGTATTNTATATATATATATATATATATATATATATATATGTGTATATATATATGATGTGGTTCAAATGAGAACCAAGTCTTAATGTGAGAACCGTGAGAACCGCTATTTTTATTGGGGCGAAGTGCTATGATTAATTGTGTTTGATGCTGTTTTTAACTAGGATGAATTTTATTTAAAATAGCAACACAATTTCTGGTAGCACTTGTAAAAATAATAGCATCATCTAATATGAAAAATAGCATCATACACAATTAAAAATAGCATAAGAAAAGGTTCTCACGGTTCTCACACCAGGACTAATTCTCACATGGGGTGGCTACTTAGTTGGCCGCCCCCAACTAATATTTTTTTTATTAATTCTTTAATCTTAATTAAAGAATAAATAATAATAAAAATATTATAATTATAATGGTGATGTTTGATAGTTGTTGGAATATTTAACAACTCTCATCTACCATATTAAATGATAATAACAATTATTATTTATTTAATTTTAAATTTTAATCTTTAATCTAAATTAAAGATTAATTAAATATAATGATACATAATTTATGAAACTAACTTTCAAAATTAATTGGTCAAAATATTATCTCCCATATAAAATAAAATCTCCTCTTTTATGTAGGCTTTTAATATATAATCATATTAATATTTGGATTTGAATTTTAAAGTCCAACTTTAAAATCCAACTATTAATTTAGTAATTCTAAGAATTACTTAATTAATATTCAAAGTCTAATTAATCAATCTAATTGATTAATTTATTTTATTCCTTTAATTGACATCTAATCAAAATTAGATTTTAATTAAATAATCAAATTATTTAATTAAGACTTGTCAATTAATCGAACTATTCGAAATACCAATTTCAAAATTGTCATCATCCAAAATTTGGTGTGACCCTTTTAGGTTCACGATTAACACTAGTAGTGGGTTTACAACTTGTTTGTAATTTAAATTAATCTGATTAATTTATATTCTTGAAATTAACTCCTTAATTTCAAGAACCCACAAATCATGGTAACACCTAGCAAGTAGCATGATCATCTAGTGTTAAGTGAGATAGCGAGTAAACCTTTTCAATTACAAGTGCATATATGTAAAATCCTTTGGACAACTGATTTCCCGATTAAATCTTGGGCATGGATTTATAAGTCGAAACTCAATTGATTTAATAACTATAAATTCATTTCAAGTTTAGTGATTCGTTTATGAATCCGTATTCATCCTGCCTTGGCCAAGGTCTTTGAATCACAAACTATGAAAAACATAGGAAATTCACTTATCCACATAAGTGTCGAATTCTTTGTTGACCACAGATAAACCTCCATAAATATTAATACAGTACCCAAAATATCCCTTTTATGATTGTCCAGCAATCAAAGGATAAATTAAAGTAAAGCACAACATGCACAAGATTACTATCGTGTCTCAAGTCAGAGGATCAGTCATGTACTATTGCAACATCAAAATTCTTATTCGACAGTTAAAACTTCCAGTTAAGAATTTTCATCGGGCCATGTTCAGTGAACTTGTTCTCCAACAAGCACCCGCATATATGCATTCGCGTCCACACGCTAATGTTGATGGAATGCAACATTCTCATCCGAAGAGCATACATCATATGTACAAGTCTTACCGAGTTATTCGACGTCCTGTCTCAAAACACCCATCGACTTGGAACTTATTTAAGATCACAACTTTAAAGACATGTTCCATGATTGCCATCATATGCGCAACCATGTCTCATAGCTAATAATGATCTAAGGACTTTATCATATGTGCAAATATAGGATAAATGCAAATACATAAGATAAAGTTATGCCTCAAAATAATATAATTTCCAATAAATTGTTTTATAAGTAGAAATATATCCAATCAGATTGGAACGCCGGGTATTCTACTCTAACAATCTCCCACTTACCCTAGTTCCAATCACCCAAGTATTTCAGGCCCATCTTCTCAAGATGTCCGTCAAATACTTTATGTGATAAGGGCTTAGTTAGGGAATCTACTATATTTTCTACTGAAGCGATTCAGATCTATGATGACGTCGCCTGTACCAATGATCTCTCTAATCATGTGGTATTGCATCATAATTTTGTTTGAATCTTTGATGAGATCTTGGCTCTTTCGCTTGCGCTCTATAGCCCCATTGTTGTCACAATAAATCATTATTGGATGATCAACAGTTGGAACTACACCCAACCCTTGGATGAAGTTCCTTATCCAAACAGCTTCTTTTGCAGCATCTGATGTTGCAATGTATTCAGCCTCTGTAGTAGAGTCAGCAGTCGTTTCTTGTTTGGAACTTTTCCTAACTAACTGCTGCTTCATTCAAGGTAAATATGTATCCAGACATTGATTATGAATCGTCTTTATCAGACTGAAAACTAGAATCAGTAAAGCCTTATAGTTTTAGTTCTCCATTGCCAAATATCAAAAAGATATCCTTAATCCTTCTCAAGTACTTAAGGATCATCTTAACGGCCTTCCAGTGTTCCTCTCCTGGATTTCACTGATATCTGCTCATGACAGTACGTGCATGAGCCACATCATGCCTAGTACATAACATTGCATACATAATGCTACCAATAGCTGATGCATAAGGTATACGAGTCATCCTTTCTTTCTTCATACGTCTTTAGAGACATAGTCTTAGAAAGTGAAACACCATGATTCATAGAAAGGTATCCATGTTTGGATTCCTCCATACTAAACTGTTTTAGCACCTTTTTTATGTACATCGACTGGGATAATCCAATCATCTATCTCTATAGATATTTATCCCTAGGATAAAAGATGTTTCTTCCAAGTATTGCATGGAAAACTGTTTAGACAACCAAGTCCTTGTTGACTGCAACATTCCTACATCATTCCTAATGAGTAGAATGTCATCAACATAGAGCACAACAAATGCTACTGCGTTTCCACTAACCTTCTTATAAACACATGGTTCATCCAGATTTTTTTGTGAAAATCAAACGTTTTGATCATTTCAGCAAACCGGATGTTCCAACTCCTTGAAGCTTGTTTAAGTACATAAATAGACTTTTGGAGTTTGCAAACCATTTGCTCGCTCCCACTGGATATGAAACTCCGTGGTTATTTCATATAAATATCCTCTTTAATATTTCCATTAAGAAAAACAGTTTTCACATTCATTTGTCATATCTCGTATTCATAATACGCAGCTATGACTAGCAAGATCCGAATGGATTTAAGCATTACAACTGGTGAAAAAGTTTTTCTCATAATCAACACCTTGTTTATGAATATAACCTTTTTCAACCAGACACGCTTTAAAGTATTCACTTCTCCATCTACTCCAAGCTTCCGCTTGTATACCCATCTACATCCAATGGGTACAATACCCTGTGGTGGGTCCACTAAGGTCCATACCTTGTTTGAGTACATGGAATCCATTTCAAACTGCATAGTTTCTTGCCATTTAATCGAGTCAATGTCCAACATTGCCTCTTCATAACTTGTTGAATCGTTATCCAAAAGGAGTTCCTCTTCATTGTTCTCTAACAATAGATTTAGCCTCTCAGAAGCCCTAGAAACCCTTATAGATTTCCAAAGAGGTTGTGTTTCAGATGTTCCAATCTTTACTGGTATTTTATCTGTGACAACTTGTGGAATAATTTGTGGTTCTTCAGTAAGTTCTACAATCTCGCCATTCTTATTAGAAAGAAAATATTCTTCTAATAAAACAGCATTCCTCGAAACAAACACCTTTTGTTCAGAGGGATCATAGAAATAGTATCCTATAGACTCTCTTGGATAACCCACAAATTTTCATAAGATAGATCTCATATCCAACTTATCTCCCACTTGCTGCTTCACATAAGCAGCACACCCCATACTTTGAGATACTAGTACGAAGGTGTTTTGCCACACCATATCTCATAAGGTGTGTTAGGCACGACTTACTTGAAATCCTATTCAATAGATATGTCGTCGTTTCCAAGGCGTAGCCATAGAATGAAAGAGGTAAAGTAGTGGAACTCATCATTGATCGAACCATGTCTAACAAGGTACGATTCCTCCTTTCTGAAACTCCATTAAAATGTGGAGTACCAGGAGAAGTCCACTGCTAGAGAATCCCATTCTCCTTTACATAATCTAGAAACTCAGTGGTCAAATATTCACCCCCTCGATCTTATCGAAGAGCCTTAATACTACGACCACTTTGTTTTTCCACCCCACATCTAAACTCTTTGAACTTTTCAAAAACTTCAGATTTATACCTCAAAAGGTATACATAACCATACCTAGACAAATCATCGGTAAAGGTTATGAAGTAGTGATAGTTCCTTTTGGCACTAACATTTAGTGGTCCACAAACATCTGTATGAATCATATTCAACAGACCTTTAGCTTGCTCCATTTGTCCAACAAATGGTGATTTTGTTATTTTTCTTTTAAGACATTATTCACATGTAGGCAACTTATCCCCTCCCCTAAGGTTGATTTTTAGTCCCAATTTGTGAATCCTTTTTTCAGATATATATGTCTCAATCAAGCATGCCAAAGTGTAAACGAACTATGATTATCTATCTTTCTTTTATTTTGTTGAATAGTTAGGATGAGACTTTGAGGTGTAACAGTGTATAAACTATTTGTCAAAATACCAAAATATATAATATCGGTATATTTGAAAATGGAACAACTTCCACTCTCATTAACAAACTTACACCGTTATTTAAAGCTAGATAAATAGTCCCTATAGCAAATGCAACAACTCTTGTTCCATTGCCCATCCTAAAGACTATTTCCTTATTGTCCAGCTTTCTACTTCTTGCCATCATTTGCAAATCATTGCAAATATGTGAGCCAGAGCCGGTATCTAACACCCAAGAAGCATCATTAACTTATAAGTTAATTTCAACAAAATAAACACCTGAACATTTCAGGTTTGCAAGATATTCTTGCAATTCCTCTTCCAGTGCCTTAATTTGTCACAATGCCTTAATTTGTCACAATGAAACACTCGTGATCAGTCAATTTGTTTTGCTCAAGAATACATGCAATTGGATTTTTAGCTATTTTAGTAGAATGATCTACCAAAATAAACGAAGCAGAAAATAAATAGACTATGAAAAATATATTCATTTAATATAAGGTATTTGATATTAAATGTCTCCCACTATTTTAATTAAACCCCATAAAATTTTGAAAATCAAATTTTCATAGTGGGCTTGAAGCCCAATAAAAATATTTCATATCCCTATTTTATGACTACGCATGAAATATTTATATTGGTAGTCAACATTTTTGACAATTGTATCACTATACAACCTTCAAGTTTATTTTGCCTCACTTTTCTTATATACCCCAATTTTATGACCGTATATGGTACTAAGTATCAAATTAAACCCATCAAACATTCGTGATAATGGCCCATCATAAGTGTTCCACGACTCGTGGCCAACACAAAGACGAATCCATCTCACGAGAATCTCAATGCTTAGTAGCACTGTTCTAAAAATCGGCCTAGGCGCTAGGCGGTGCCCGGGTGCCTCCGATTTGTACAAATCGGCATAAAAAATCGGTCAGGCGGCTAGGCGGCGCCTAGACGGGCCTAGGCGGACCTAGGCGGCCCTAGGCGCTCCTAGGCGGGCTTGGCGGACTCGGCGGCCAGGCGGTTAGGCGGCGTCTAGGCGGGCGTAGGCGGACCTAGGCGCTCCTAGGCGGGCTCGGCGGCAATTTTTCAGTTTTTTTTTTATTTTTTTTTATTTTTTTAAATATTAATTACATTGTTTTGTTTTCATGTTTTCTTTAATATATATAAATATTATTATTTGGACTTTCGTGTGAGAATTTATTATAAGTTGAGATAGTTTTATTTTGTAGGTAATTAAAATAAATAAAAAATAAGATATATAATATTGATTTCTGGGCCCCGACTAGGCGCCGCCTAGGCCCCGACTAGGCACTCTAGGCGCTAGGCGCTGGTCGAGCGCCTAACGGGCGCCTAGCGACTTTTAAAACACTGCTTAGTAGTGATCACAGCTTTCGCCACAAAGCCACCCCACGACTCATGGTCAGTGACTAGGCACCGTAGCATCGTCATGTCATCTACTTTTGATAGAAGGCATGGATTAATAGGTCCAACCATTTTTATCCATTATAATTTGATATGGAATTAATCGAATTAAATTCCTTAATAGTTTCAAAAACTTATGGTTTATTTAAGACCTCATCAACTTAAATTAATATGTGGGTTTATTTAATGCAACATTCATCATATGAAACGCAAGCAACAAGTATTAAATAAATCTAACATGCATCTAATGCAGAAAGCGATGGGATGATCACGGCCATACCTATGCGACCCATTCGAGCCAAAATGGGTCTATGCTTATATACGGGATAAAATAAATAGAACTACTTATATTACATTTTATTTTATCAACTTGTACAAGCACAGGGTCTTCAAAATTTACAACTTGTAAAATTACCCACACAAGCGTGGGCCTTTTGCATCGAACAGCCTTCAACCTGATCTAATCTACTCTCGATGCAATAATTTAAAATTATACAAATTATTGAATAAGAGACTCGTAGGTCTCGATAAATTACAAACATTCAATCACATTGAATTAAAGGCTCATGATCATCCCTAAATAAATATGCTAAAAACATTCATCACATGAATTAAAAGAATATAAATTTACCAAATTTTGTGTGTTGATTTAATTTTGGGATTGATAATATTAACTATTCATGATAGTTAATTTTATAAACAAACAAATACATATTTGTATTTATTATTAGTGAACTATTCCCTAATCATAAATACAAATTGATTTGCATTTTTTTTTTTATTTAAATTGCCGAGAGCATCTGATGCTTCTCGCAATTATAATGGGAGAGTTGATGTATCATCTATCTCAACATGTACAACAAATTGTACATATATTATAATGAGATTTTTAATAAACAACATGGGTTTGGCACATTCAACTTGTAGCACCATGTGGGATAATCAACTCACTCACCAAACATAATTAGCAAGTAACTCATCAACATGGGTAACGTGGATGGCATAACATGGCCACCCAACAATTTTCTTTTTTTTAAATAAATTGCCAAGATCACTCGGCCCTATTTCTCAACAAAAGGAAAACATCATAAAAATGAGAATCTTCACATCCTTTTAAAACTCCCAAGAGTTTTAATATTTATTAAACATGTTTGGTGGTTTTGATGAGTTGCTACACTAACTTTTATTATTATTTTTATTATTTTAAAGCAACAACATGTGAGCTAAGCAGAGAATCTCATTCTCTACAAATATTTCAATCAACTAATCTAATTATCTTGTGACATGCCCATATGAAAAAAAAAAATTGCTGCTTAAAAATAATAATTGATAACAAAGTGATTGCTTTAAATGCGTGTATATATGATGTCTTCACAGCAATTATAGATACAACTTTAAATCAACACTTGATTTAAAATTAATTCCAAAATTAATATCAAATACAACACTTGTATTTAGATATTTGTCAGAAACATTTTCTGGTTGTATGAACTCGAACAATTCGATTCATTTAATTAATCCCAAATTTAAAATCAAATACAACTTTTATATCACACACAAATTTATATATATAATTTAACAATTGAACATGTTTATCACATAAACATAAACAAATCAAAATATGATTTTAAAGATGCAAACCTGGCTCTGATACCACTGTTGGGTTCTCTATACTGTACGGATTAAAATCGCAGCGGAAATTATACAGTATAATTTTCATTTATCAAATAAATAATTAATCCGTAAGTATATATAGCGAATAAAATGATCGGCATCTTTTAAAATCACGTAATGATAAAGCCACATAAGGATAACCCGGTCCAGAGGCTTCCTACTCGACCGGTGAACCACTTGAACGACTCACATGTCGTCATAACTCCGTCGACATGCCCAAATCGACTTCCCTAAAGTCGATTCTACTGAGAGCAATTGAGAAGAGGTAGAAATTTGTCTAGTCGACTCTCATAAGTCAACCTTCGTCTATCAACTTTCACTAGTCGACATCAAGGGGAGAAGAACATCAAGAGAGCAACTCCCAAGCATCCAGATACTATAGGTCGACTTCCACTAAGTCGACTTCACTATGACGACTCTATGAAGACGACTTCACCGAAGAGAGTTAAACCAGGCGTATCCTCCGAAACCGCACATATTCATAAGTCGACCTCCTAGCTCTCGAGGTCGACTCTATACATCTCGAGGATCAGAACAGTGAAGATGATTCACCACACTTACAGCATATCTGAAGTCCTACATACTACAAAGGATAAGAGAGAATCTTGTGATGACTCAGCAGCAAGGGGAGACAAACCGACCATGGCATTCTGGACCTTCTAGGTCCACCGACTTGGGCATTTTGGGCACTTCAAGTAAGTACTCGCTCCTATATAAAGGAGGTGAGGTAACCCAAACCCTAACTCTCATTCATTCCCACTCTCCCCCATAACTGCTGCGCAGCCTCTTCTCATCACTCTCACACTGACTTCAGCGTCGGAGGCTCTACGTCGGAAACACCTCCGACGTTGAGTTTTTGCAGGTATCTCACGGTCTAGCGACGATTTGGAGGCGGTTCAAGCAGATCTGAGCTCACATCCACCGGTTTACTCCAGATCTGGAAGTAGACCCATCACGTAAAAATACGAATTTTGATTTGTAAAGGATTTCAAAATTACCTTTAATTTTCTTCAAATAGCAACGATGAAGAGGAAATCAATTTCCGGTTATGTGGCTATCACCGTCTTCTTACTCCATAAGGGATTCAAGCGTCTCCCCTCTAATCGAGTCCACCCATTTGGATTCCGACTCCGAGAATAATTTCTTCGCTAGTAGAAATTTTCTGGAATTGAATTGGTATAAGGAATTAAACTGAGAGGAGATTTTTTTTTTCTTTCGCAAATGACGAGAGTATAATTGCTCAATTTTGCAAAACTCTAATGGGAGAGTTGGTATTGAGATGTTCTGTACATCAGGGTCACGCTCCGGTGAGAATGACTCTTAATGCGAGAAATGAGAATAAATCCTATCCATTGGATCCGATGATCTACTGGCTAATAAAAAACTAAAACTATACATTCATTAAGAGTAATGTGATAATTTTAAATACACCCACTAAACAATGGGACCCATGCCACCACACACCAACTCACTCGTGGGCCCGATTTACACCTCATCTCCCACATTCTCTCTCTCACACACACATACACGCACATCACCCACACAGACGCACACACTAATCAATACACACACTAATCGATACACACACATACACACGCACTAACTGCACGGAGCTCTTTCCCATGGCCGTCGTTTTCGACCCTTCCCAGTCAATCTCTACCTCTGCCTCCGCCTCCCTGACTATTCCGACTGCCGCCCTAATTTTCACCTCCCTCTACCACTTCCAGCCGCCCCCCTCCTCCATCTCCGCCGTGTACCTCGAGAGCTTCAATTACCTCGACCACAGCAACACACAGTACCCATCCCCGCCCGACCTTCTACACCGGCACAGCCATCCAACACTATCCAACCCCGCCGGCTCCGCCATTCCCGACTTCTCTAGCGGCCGCCACTCCGGCGAAGGCCACTACACCCACCGGAAACCGCATTATATTCCTTACCTTCTCCAATCAAAGCCGCTGCCGGAAACTGCATCTGCTCCTCCGCCCGCCGCCTCCAGAACTCCGGTTACTTCTCCTATCAACGCCGCCCTCAGCCCTCTCCATCCAGTCAGATCCGCCTTAAAATCGAAACTCCGGCCGTAGTCCAAATTACCGCCAAGCCATCCGATCTCGAGGGTTTGGGGGAAAAAAATCGACCGCCCACGAAGAAACCACTGACGCCGTCGAGCTCTGGTAATACCAACTCGGCAAGAACACACCAGCAACATCAAAAATCTAAACTAAAATCGAAAATCAAAAATAAAATAGACGAACACGAAATCGAAACTAAAATCGCCAGGATGTGGTCGACCGGTGAGGTCTTCCCATGGCTGAGAAAGATCAGGCGGCTTATCGGCGGTAATGGCGGAGATTGTGTGGAGACAAAATGACGGGGAAATATTTGGGATTGGGGGTGTGTAATAAAAAATTGATAAAATATTAAAGACTTAATTGAAATCCTGGGTCAAATCTATAATTTAACAAAAATTTCAAGAGTTTTGAATATGGTTCAATTTAGTCTATGGGCTAAATCTAGAATTTATATAAAATATATAAAAAAAAAGTATTTTAAAATATTGAAATATTTTATAATATAAATAATAAATTAATTAAATTATGTAGGTTAATTTTATTTAAAGAAATAATTCGATTATAAAACATGTAGTAATATGCAATGTATTATACAAAATGCACATTAGCGATTGTCATGCTACATTAGACCATATGCACTTTTAAGGAACATCTTGATAAATTTGGATAAATTTATGAACAAATTGAACCGACTAATGAACAATTCTATGTAATTTCGTAAATTAACTGGTATTTTTAATAATTACAAATATTATTAATAATTACAAATACTGTTAATAATTACATTGGTTCGACTTATACACTATCACATTGCACTTTACAAAATAACACATTGCACTTTACAAGACAATACGTTGCACTTTATAGTTCGACTTATACACTATCACGTTGCACTTTATAAAATAACCCATCGCACTTTACCAAACAATACATTGCACTTTATAGTTCGACTTTTACACTATCACATTGCACTTTATAAAACAACATATTGCACTTTACAAAACAATACATTGCACTTTATAATGATTATCAGATTGCAAATTATAGATTGAAACCGACGAACTCAATTTTATTCAACAAAAAAATAATATAAATAACAATAAATAGAATTATTAACATATTAAATATAATTTTAATATAAACAACAAATTATTTCTATTATTTAAAATAATTCAGTTATTTGAACCGAATAAACCAATAAATTATGTTCAATTTCAATTTGATTTGGGAAAAAAGTTCGGTTGGTTCAATTTGCACAATACAGACCGACATCGTGCACCATATTGTTGGACGAATTGCACCTTAAGACTATTAGATTGCACAGTATATTTTGTTTACATGTATACTAATTTCTTTAATAAAAAATAATATAAAAATCAACTAAAAATATTAATTAATAATAATTTTTTTATAATAAATAATATAATTTATGTCGATGGTTAGTTATATTAACCGATAAATTAAACTAGTAATTTCAAAAGTTATCAATAGGGAATGAAATAGAGTATAAGCCTATAATACCAAGTTACGTCGGTACATGGAAATGGAGTATCTAAAGTAATTTAGTAAGAATGATGTTCATTAGTCAACCATCTATTATTAGGATTTGCAACCCAAGACTGAAATATTAGTACAAAATTAATCCTGTTTATTTTAATAATAAATAACCAATGATGATCCCACATAAATTCATCAACCTGCTCTCTGACGGTCAATTCACTGTGGTTGGTCATTGATGTCTTAATTAACAGCTGCAATATCATTTTATTTTCACTTAAACCCCTAAAACTTATCAAATTCACAAAAACAAGCCCCTCTCCATAAATTTAAAAATTCTTTTGATTTTCACGCCCGTTCACCTCCCATTGAGCGCCTCATCCAGCGGCTACCGGGGGACATTCGCCGGTCGCCGTCACAACGCCACCAACATCGACCACCTCAATTTCAACAACCACCTCATCGCCCGGATGGCCGAGCTCGCCGGCGACCACAACGCCAGCGGCCCGCACGCCGCTGCAACAAGCGTTCATCGGTGGCCACATCTTCATCGTCGTCGGGAGCATCTCTTGTTCGGCGGCGGAGGGTTTTCTGGCGGACGACATGTGGTTGACGAAAGGCAACGACGGTGGGTGGGGTAAGGACGGCGACCGACGGCAGGTGGTGGGATCGGACGACGACGTGGGCGGCGCCGGGTGAGGTCGGAGGCGACGGGCGGTGGTTGTGGACTGGGGTGCCGCCGTCTGTCATGTGTGTGTGTGTGTGTGCCCGTCTGTGTGGCGGTGAGAGGAAGATGTGAGAGAAAAGAGATGTTTGTTGGTGGTAGTGGTGGGGCCCACTTGGGATTTATTATGAATGAGTAATTACCTTGATATCCTTAGTTAGTGGTTGATGTGTATTTTTTACCATGAAATGAAATCTTATTTACGAATCTGCCATCCCCAATTTGACTGTCATATTTAATATTTGACTTAATCAAGACCTTTGATATGTTGGATCCAATGATCCAGACTCATTCTTATTTCTCGCATTAAGAGTCATTCTCATATGATCCTTTCTCATTAGAAAAGGTTCTCACGGTTCTCACACCAGGACTAATTCTCACATGGGGTGGCTACTTAGTTGGCCGCCCCCAACTAATATTTTTTTTATTAATTCTTTAATCTTAATTAAAGAATAAATAATAATAAAAATATTATAATTATAATGGTGATGTTTGATAGTTGTTGGAATATTCAACAACTCTCATCGACCATATTAAATAAAAATAACAATTATTATTAATTTAATTATAAATTTTAATCTTTAATCTAAATTAAAGATTAATTAAATATAATGACACATAATTTATGAAACTAACTTTCAAAATTAATTGGTAAAAATATTATCTCCCATATAAAATAAAATCTCCTCTTTTATGTAGGCTTTAATATATAATCATATTAATATTTGGATTTGAATTTTAAAGTCCAACTTTAAAATCCAACTATTAATTTAGTAATTCTAATAATTACTTAATTAATATTCAAAGCCTAATTAATCAATCCAATTGATTAATTTATTTTATTCCTTTAATTGACATCTAATCAAAATTAGATTTTAATTAAATAATCAAATTATTTAATTAAGACTTGTCAATTAATCCAACTATTTGAAATACCAATTTCAAAATTGTCATCATCCAAAATTTGGTGTGACCCTTTTAGGTTCACGATTAACACTAGTAGTGGGTTTACAACTCGTTTATAATTTAAATTAATCTGATTAATTTATATTCTTGATTAACTCCTTAATTTCAAGAACCCACAAATCATGGTAACACCTAGCAAGTAGCATGATCATCTAGTGTTAAGTGAAATAGCGAGTAAACCTTTTCAATTACAAGTGCATACATGTAAAATCCTTTCGACAACTAATTTCCCAATTAAATATTGGTCATGGATTTATAAGTCGAAACCCAATTGATTTAATAAGTATGAATTCATTTCAAGTTTAGTGATTCGTTTATGAATCCATATTCATCCTGCCTTGGCCAAGGTCTTTGAATCACAAACTATGAAAAATATAGGAAATTCACTTATCCACATAAGTGTCGAATTCTTTGTTGACCACAGATAAACCTCCATACATATTAATACAGTACCCAAAATATCCCTTTCATGATTGTCCAGCAATCAAAGGATAAATTAAAGTAAAGCACAACATGCACAAGATTACTATTGTGTCTCAAGTCAGAGGATCAGTCATGTACTATTACAACATGAAAATTCTTATTCGACAGTTAAAACTTCCAGTTAAGAATTTTCATCGGGCCATGTTCAGTGAACTTGTTCTCCAACAAGCACCCGCATATATGCATTCGCGTCCACACGCTAATGTTGATGGAATGCAACATTCTCATCCGATGAGCATACATCATATGCACAAGTCTTACCGGGTTATTCGACGTCCTGTCTCAAAACACCCATCGACTTGGAACTTATTTAAGATCACAACTATAAAGACATGTTCCATGATTGCCATCATATGCGCAACCATGTCTCATAGCTAATAATGATCTAAGGACCTTATCATATGTGCAAATTTAAGATAAATGCAAATATATAAGATAAAGTTATGCCTCAAAATAATATAATTTCCAATAAATTGTTTTATAAGTAGAAATATATCCAATCGGATTGGAACGCCGGGTATTCTACTCTAACACAACCGTCATTCACACCCGATTTTTTGAGTATTTTAGCCAAAGTTGGTTTTTCGGAGCCGAAGCCGAGACTCCACTGGTGGGCCATTTTTGGATTGTTGTTCCCGAAGTCTCCCAACACCGGGATGCTTGGCCGTAGTTATAGATTTATGCGCGGTGAACGATGTGGTCTGTTTTGTGTTCATTCGGTTGTGTGGGCTTTGCGTCGGGTGTCGTGTATATGTGACTTTGCGGCAGTTGAATCCTTGACCGAGATTATGTTTACCTTCGAGATTGTTGGACGACTTTCAACCTTCGTGTTCGATCGGGGGAAGCGTTCGGGCTGTTGCTGTCTTGAGGACGTCTCCAACGGGTACGGGTCGGATTCAAGGGCGAATCCTGCTCAACCGGGGGAGAATGGTGTAGGCTAATTATTATTATTATTATTATTAGTATTAGTATTAGTATTCTTATTATTATAGAAATTAATATTATTTAATAATTAGTAGCTTAGGGAATAAGCTAGGGTATTATTTGATGACTTTATTTAAAGGAACTTAGGCTTTGTGAGGGTTAGTTGATTATTGAAATGAAATAAGATATTGGTGAGTTTTATAAGTTTTATCGAGAGAGTATCTCGTTTATGGTCCCACTCGTACATTTCCCTATATCAATTTCACAACAAAACGAGAGAGACACAACGTATGTACAGGAACTAATTGAACCCCTAAAATGATCAGTATAAGCCATTTCAATAAAAAGCAAAAACACCTCCAAACAGAAAAAAAAATCGCAAAGGTCACTAAAACTCAAACGTATGATAAGTGTTTAGTAGAGAATTGTGGGTATGTGGTAACCAAGTTACCCGACTCTGGTCGTTCTCTAAGGAAGGCTATTCGGAGCTTTGGTTGCTATTCAATTGTCCAAAAACACAAAACGAGAAAAATAAATCCTAAACATCCTAACCAATGACTTGAGGTTGATTTTAAACTAAATTAACTAAGAAAATTAGCAACGAGCAATTATACCAGAAACCCTAGCTTACTAAACCGGAGAACCGAAATCAAGTAAAAATGGCAAAGGCAAAAGAAACGAACTCCATCTACTACACTTAATAGTTAAAGCCGAAGATCCTACGACAAAATAACCGAGCTCAATATCAAAGTCACGATGTTTCAAGTAGAAATTCACACTTCAACAAACTCAAGCACAATAGATAAGCTCAAAAACTACAAAAACACGGAAAATGACTAAACGAGCAAACATATCCGATAAACGAGCAAGCCCTAATCACTTCTACTAACTAGATAGCAAATTAGGTGCATAATAAGAAAATATAAGTCTTAAAAGTAAGTACTCACATTCCTAGTGCATGCTTAGTCGAAATCAGAGTAAAAAGATATAAACTTGCATAAAAACGAGAGTCGCCGAAAAAAGTTCCGGAAATAGTTCGCCGGAAAATACTAAGCTAGAGAGTATCTAGAGGGAAATCTAAAAACCAAAAACATTACCAAAAAGAGTAAAGTAGCAAATGAAATCTAGATGATCAATTACAAAGGGCCAAAACATATTTATAGTGCAGCTCCAAAAACACACAGTAGAAACACGCAGATTTAATGACACATTCTCGAGCTCGCCGGGACTTCTGCGGGCGCGGGAGCGAGATGGCGCTGCCTGTCTCGAGGAGTGCACGGGACCGGCACGAGAGAAGACACTACTCTCGATATCGCGAGAGGATTCGCGGGCCGCGGCGCTGGGAAGATGCGGAAGTGCACGAGGTCGGCGCGAGGGTCAGGCAATACTCTCGATATCGCGGGTGAATTCGCGGGCGCGGGCAACCATTGCGGACTACTCTCGAGCTCGCAGGAGGATTCGCGCGGCGCGGACTGGGACGGCACGAGGTGGCGCGGAGAAGGGCAATACTCTCGAGCTCGCGGTGAAGTTCGCGGGGCGCGGGGGCGCACGAGGTGGCGCGGAGCACGACTAATACTCTCGATGTCGCGGCATGCTTTCGCGAGGCGTGGGGCGCGGGGCGCGGGCGCGAGTGGGGCCATCCTTTGGGACTTTTGATCGAATGGACTAGCTAAATGATTCGGGAAATTCTCGACATTGACTCGGAATACTTAGAAATCTCGTCTCTCGGAACTCTTCTCGTCATCCTCGGGAATAAACCTGAAAGTACACCACAAAATACAGAAAAGTACGCCAAAAATATAAAAATAGAAGAAAGACACACAAAACACATGGAAAACGATAAAATGGACCGGTCAACGCTAAAACAATCCTAAAACTGACTCAACTACGCACAAGAAACACATAAAAAGAAGCACAAAAACATAATAAACAACTCCCCCACACTTAGCTCTTTGCTTGTCCTCAAGCAAACAAAACGTTAAATAGCTCAAAAAGAAATGCCAAATGGTCCAAGGTTAACAAATGTGCAATAATGAAATTCTCATTTTCCTACGGTAATCCAAAGAATCAAACTCAAATTTGTTAACACGTTCCCTACATATCATTCCATACAAAACAAAAACCCGTCCCAAGTCATCCTACACATGATGTTCTCGATTTAAGCTACCTTTTCACATATACATGCAAAATGCTAATGCGGTCAACTCTAAAAGATAAAATACAATAAACACGGACCAATAAGCCAACTCCCATTCGTTATTTGATTGCTTTTGCTCTTTTTTTTTTCGTGAGCTTATTTTTCTGANGTTATATATATTCAATCCGAAGGGAGAGGCACAAAGTACATCAAAGGTATATTCACATAACGCACAAACGATCTAGATGCACTACAAACGAATAGCATAACACGTTTACAATAATTGAACATAAGGCACGCCTATCTCAAGTCAATCAATCGAGACAATCAAGGGACAAAACAATTTCGTGAATTCATATGTGGGTCCCACGTTTAACAAATCATCATCCAATTCAAAGGTACCGTCAAAATCATCGAATTCATTAGGCACAAATGTTAACAATGACGCCAATCAACATGCTCAAA